AAGTTTCACTACACTCGAGAACAAGTAAAGAATGGTTTGATTAAAGTTAATCATATTGACAGCTCTAATCAGTTAGCTGATATACTTACTAAAAATTTGTCACGCGATAAATTCAAAGCTAACTGCTCACTTCTAAAATTAATGTAAATGACACAAGAACGAGTGGGAGTGTTAGGGATATCGCGCTCTGGTGTCAATTTTAGGTAGCTAGAATCAGTGCAACAAGAACATTAATTTTTCTTAAGTTTCCGCACTTGTGCGTACGACGCGAACGGCCTCACTCTCCTACTATTTTTCTCTCATTTCTTTTTACGTTACGTTCTTGCGCGCGGCAAAAAGAGTTGTAGCACGTTGTTTTCTATCCGCCAAGTTTGTAAAACTCTCTTATGTTAAGTCTGTTATACACACATGTTTAGCTTGTGCACTTTGTGAATCATTCTCGTCTTCAAATAAATATATTGTAGTCACAAACAACTGTCGTTACTGGAAAAATCCTCATCATCAGTGTTACTCAACTTGTGAGTTACCAGTCCTTTAATACTACTACTACTACATATAGCTACAGGTATAATTTCTGATTTATTGTGAAGCATTTTATTCATGATTTCATAATATTCCCATCTTTTTCGATTTTTCCCTGATGTTATATTGTATTCTTTAACATCTTTATAGATCTTTAACAAGCCCTTCTATTTTGTATCGCATTGTTGCCGTGTAAATGAAATACTTAATCTATCTTTAAGAATTTTCGATATTTTTTGTCAAACATATTTTTTCACCGAACTTTGGAATTGTTCTTCGTATTCTTCGACTAAGTTAATCAATGCCAAAGTAGATTCAGTTGTCCAAAGTTTTTTTCTTCAACATTTTGTTGATTAGATATATGAGTAAGTTGATTCTCATATACTTGTTCTACATTTTCTTTATTTGCATCATTCTGTATGCTAATAGATTCATAGATACTTTCTGTAAAAATAAAGAGTTAAAAAAATTTTAAACATGGATATATTTTATATATTTGCATGAAATAAGAAACTTATTTTATTACTCAAGTAAATTTTAATGCCCATGTTTCGACCCATGTTCGGATCATCTTCAGTAGAATGCTAATTTAAACAATAGAATCCCATAATTTCATAAATCCTGGTCGTATGTGAAAAAATCGTAGTAGATGTAGTATACAAATACACAGTGCTTAATTCCACATAAAGCTGTGATGTCCAAGTTATTGATTAATGAGTTATTATTTAATAAGTTCAATGATCAGTTAAATAATAAAACAAAATTATTATCACTCTTTTTTTTATTATTTAATTCTTATTATTTCACTGATTATAACTGAACTTAGTAAATATCCATAAAATACTTACTATATCAATAACTTGAACATCGCATAGTTTTATATGGAATCAAACAATTGTGTGCTACAACTGATATGATTTCTTCACACATAATTTATGAAATTATGTGATTCTATTGTTTAAATTAACGTTCTAATTTTCTACTAAAGATGACCTGAATGTGTATTGAAACGTTTATATTTAATTTGTAAAATAAATATATTACAAACATGGATAACTATAGTGACGGCTTGTACTGGCATTAAAATTTATTTGATTTATATTCGTTAAAGCCTTCAATATAACATAGTTTTATTTTATTTCAATCTATTATGCAACATAAGCTTTGATCCAAAAATTAACATGCAAATTCTTTGTTTCCAAATATGTAATCTCAAATTCACAAAGAGAAAAAGAATTAAAAACTTCCTTTCCTCGTTAAATACGTAATGTAATCCATCAATTTCTATTATTTTGATTGTAGACTCAGACATAGTTCAAATACACTTATGTGTATGGAAGGAAAAGGAGGATTCTCTCTCTGGAGGCCATGGAATCGCGGCAATCGGTTTTACGATCGCTTCTCTTCTGTATAAAAAGATTTCCAGTATTTCCAGAGCGACGCCGATCTCAGGCTGAATTTGTAGCGTTACTTACGAGTAACCTATTTCAACTGCGTGGAAGAGATTCGGGCGAAACTTGGCGAACACGCGCGCCAACCAGGACCTCTGAAAAGGTTATGAATTCAATTTAGGTGCGAAAACTTGCATTAGGGAGCTTATTACGGTTTTTGTGACGAAGTGAAAATTACAAAAATGATCAAATTCACTAGAAGTTAACCAATGAAGTTATAAATATACTGGTAAATTCAATCACTTTTGTAATTTTCACTTCGTCACAAGGAAACGTAATAAGTCCCTAGCTCTACGAGCTCGATCTTTGAATCCAGAGTGGATTGAGGAGCTCGATTAGTTCTAGAAATGTTAATACCGAACGCAGATGGGATGACATGTAGCAGAAAGATACGAGTTGCCGAACAATTTGCGAGGTGAAAGAGCAAACGGATGGCTTCGATTTGCAATGCCGAACGCACCTATTACAACATGGGATCGATTCTGTATCTTGAAACGAGGTAAAAATTACAAAAGTGAGCAAATTTACTAGAATACTAATAATTTCATTGGTCAACACTTAATAAATTTGCTCACTTTTGTCATTTTTACCTTGTTTGAAGATACAGAAACGACCCTCATGTCTGTAGCTCAGAGGGAAATTTATCGTTTCAAAGTTGGCACACCTGCTTGGAGGGGAGGTCCCAGTGAAGAGAACAAGCGGTGGAGTAGAGTCCTAGATTTATTAGAGGCACAACCGACTTAAGTCAGTATGACAAAGGTACTAAGAAGGGTACTAAACATGGCTGACATGCTATGAAACTGCCTTTAAACTGTCAAACAAGATAAGACAAAGTAATATAAAATTATATTTAAATGAATCGTATCAATTCTTTAGAGGGAATATTTATGTATTGATAAGTCAGTTGATTAATTGTCATTATAATCGCTTTTGCGTATCACCATAACCTCTTAATTTGCACTGCTGTTAACGGAGTAAAACTTTACTCAATGGTAAAGATTCTCGATAAAATTATTCTTGAAATTAAAAAAAATATTATTGAAAAAATATTACTCAGATAAATAATTCTGTATGATACGTAGAAGAATTTCATATGGTTTAATCTATGGAGTATTCCAACTGTTTGGAATGAAATAATTTTAAAGTCATTTGTGATTGCTTGTTTGTAAATTAAAACAGAAATGTTTGAAGATAAGATATTGTATAATTGCAGATACGATTGCAGTATTATGTTCTTACATTCAAGAAATATTGAAAAAAATGATAATTGTGAGGCATATATATCTACTGTTAACGAATAAGTAATTAGGACTTTCTGTATAATACCAGTAATAACAATTTAGTCAGCATGGATTCTATTCAAGAGCAAGAACGAGATAGAGTGAGATAGAATGTATAGACAAAATGAAATAGAAATGTCACTAGTACTATAAATGGCTGCCAAGTTATGTGATTGCAACAGCGAATCAGAATGCGTAACACCGGTTGCGCCTCTCTGATAAATCTAGGACTCTACGGTGGAGGAGGTCAGTAGCATGGTGGAATTATACAAGGTGAGTCGTTCCCGTGGATGCGCAGTAGCCTAAAAGTAGTGGGGAGTGGATAACTAATCATGGGGGGCCCCATTCGATTAAAATCCAATATGGCTGTGTTTATTTCGGAGCACTGCGTGTTATTATAACAGATCGACCGTGTGATCAATTATCGTGTAAAACTGTAAGTAATAAACGAATATATATGAAGATTATGTTTAGAACATATGTAATGTAGTATAATATAATTCCTAATAGCACACTTTATCCTGGGGATGTCTTTAGGACGCTGTTCAAATTACATCATTACATGTCCTCAGGATATCCCTTAGAAGTCTGTGCTGTTATGGATATAATATATAATATAATATAATAATATAATAATATAGAATATATAATATATATAATAATAGAGGTTAGTGCAATATACAGAGTGATTCAGACTAACTCCATGCCCTTGCAAAGACGTGTTCCTGACTGAATTCTGAGACGATTTTTCCTCTACGAAAATTTTATCCGACGCTTACTTTTTGAGTTATTAAAGGATAAAGTTA